GAGGGTATTGAGTCACCGTCCAAAAGAAGACGACTCAATTTGTCCTCTCGGTGATGGTTCTAACTTCCTCAAACTCGTCCAACATGTCAGATTGAGCTCATCAACCAAACCAGACGTACCAGATTACGCAGCCCCAGTCATGCCTTTCCTCGGTTTGTTACACCCTAATGATCCTAGATTGAGAGGTTTGGACAAGTGGTTTCGCAACTTGACTTACATGCTAACAAACTCATATCTAATCATATCAACCATACTTTCTTACGCACTTACGAAGTCCCGGCCAGGGCTTTCTATTGGGTCATTAGGCCTTGATGATCAGAGCCTGACATTAGCCTTTTGATAACTATGATTTAGGACCAGTATTGAGTATAGACATACACACACCAACACGTACACACACAGAAAGTCGAGCAAAAGCAGCGGGACCAGAATAAAAGATAATTAGCCGAAGCACTCTATATCTTTTTTGCTTTATACTTTCTTTTCCCTTATTTGACTCTATATGAGAGGTAAGATAGAGCCAGGTAGTATTCTTGACCTGGTGCTGTTAATGTGAAACTTTTACAGGAATGAGACCCAGCTCTGATGATGGACGAAAGCTTAGCCCGTTTTTACCCGAAACGAGGAAGGAGGTCTCGTGGACTGCGTCAACCTGAACGCCGTATTAAGGCCAAACGGCTGCAGTACAACGCGATTCAATTCATTCGTCCTCTTTTGGTGAGATCAACCTACGAATCTCTTATTTCTGACCTTTAATACGAAACGAAAGTCCCCCCAACAATGTTATGACAGAAGATTAATCGAAACCCATATAGTCTTCGTATCAATTATTTATTTAAATTATAAGCACGCAAAATAAAATATATCCGTGATTTAATGTTATTCTAGCTCATATTTGCATATGATTTTGTACCGCTTCATGAATCTTACCAAAAGTGTCATTCAACCTTGGTCGTGGAAATTAGTCTTTTTGACGCATTTAACGTTAAGTGAATTACGTTTACGACTTGAAATGTTTCGTAATTCATCTTTAAAAGGATTTTTTCGTTAATATTACTGATAATGCAACTAGCAACGCAAATTCGAAAGCAATAAATCACAGTTTATAAACGGATCCTACATACGAATGGAGAAAAATATAAAAGTAGTTTAAATGTCCTTATGTAAATTTTTGCAAGTTGCTAAGATTGAACAAAATCAACTTGATTTCCGGAGAAATATTATACCAGCTGATTGTCTGCAACATCACCAAATGTTTTTTTTTACTCCAAAAAAACTTTTTATGAAGACAACTCCAATACTAGGGGATCTGAAGGCAATAAGCTAAAGGTCCTCCTTTAGTAACGAACAAAGAAATTGCTCAATAAATGAGGCCAAATTGAGTTGTGGTTTTAGATAAATCATGCATTTTATACCTTTCCGTAAATATTAAAAATAAAGGGTATTAAAATATCGGGCTTGAAATAGATTGAAATTCATGCAGTAGTGATTACATTCTATCACATCTCGAAATCCTAAAATAATTTATATTCATAAAATATTTAGGCATAATGACAATGCTATTTGTGGCGGAAAAATTAAAGCTAAACTACCTTAAAAACAGTTTAAAATATTTACAATCAGTAAGTATTCTATAGTAATGGGAAATAAAGGAAATAATGCGCATTAAGAAAACATGTGAAACATATGGCATAGTGTATCATATCTAACGATATATAATATTTAAATGTGACAAATTTCCTCAATCCTCGAATAAGTATAATCTGAAATCTACGTGAAGCCACTAATATCTTATTACTAACAATAGGTATACAATGAGAGCAAAAACTTTCCTGCAGCCATGTAAGTTTAAAGCAATTATTCGGATGGTCATAGTACTTTGCTAGGGAGATAAGCTGCCTGAACTCCGGTCCCATTGTGTTTTTTGTGTGGTAAAGAAAACGAAACTATGACTCCTATCATTTTATTTATATGTCTACTTTGTCCTCATTGAAGAGGCATTGGCGGCAATTTCTGGCTGCAAGCGTCATTTGAAGAGAATTTGTAATAAGTTTGATTGGAGGATCCAGATGCTGTGAGGTATGGATCTTGCAGTAGGAACTGAAGTAATCTTCCTACGCGGAAGATATGCTTTTCAAAAAAAGTTTGGAACTTGCCTGTACGCGAATAATATCATCATTGTTTATCTTCGTCAATGAGTCCGCCTTTACTTCATCAATTAGCTCCGTGCTTAATTCAATCAAGGCTCTTCCTCGATAGGCGATACCCTCTCCTTTGCCCAAATTTAGCTCCTCCAGCTTGTCTGGCAGGTCAGAATACTCGCGCGTAGAGCCGTACAAGTTGACGAAACATGGTCCGAAGGTCGGTAGAAAACCTGGAAATTCGGAGTGAAGATGTTTTCAACGGGTGGATAGGATGAGGATGTGGATAGAAAAAACTCATCACACGAAGCCAAGGATGTGGGAGTTTGAGGGGAGGACAAATGGACAAAAGTGGCGGGATTACACGAATCAATGGACATATGCAGAGCGGGTTAAGTGAGTTGGCAAATGGGAAGATGGAGAAACGCATGAAAGGACTTTAGGGGTTGATGACAGAAAGGACGAGAGGGGGGCTTGGGGACAACACCAGGTGTTTGGTGGTTTTCCAGGAATGTATAGGTGGCGAGGCCAGAAGATCGTAATTATTGTCACCGGAGGAGGGCCAAAACATCAAGAAAAGGGGTGTAGCAGAGATGAAGAAAGAGACAAACAGACCAAGCATGTATACATCTCATATAGAAAAAAGCCTAGGCGACAACCAATGAGCCGATTAACGAATACTGGCTCCATGCTAAGGAATCTATCAACATAATTTTTAAGCCTCCCAACATAATGGATAATACTCAGTGTCAGCAATATTAGAAACTTACGCCACATTCACCTTGGCAAATATTTGAGCCTTTCGATCAAATTGTTTATTTGACGAGTACTATTCTTAGTTAATGGGATTCAAATTGTGTAAGTGTAAAACAGATAGACGTCATAACTACTTAAAGTTAGGACAACTCAAGATGAATGACTGTAGAGAGAATGAGATAACTCTTTCGAATGAGGGCAACTTTTGGACCGATGACTAGCCGAAAATCTGGTAACTGAAAGAACTTTCAGCCAAAAAAAGTTGTTGGTTTTGAGGGAACCCAAAGTTCCATGGTTTTCTTCTCCGATCATAGAAAATATCTCTTTTAACTGCTCTCACTTTCTTCATCGCCTCATGCCTTGACTATAATAAAATTTTAGTTGCTTCCGGTGGCCAATCATTTAGGGCTTCGTATCACAGACATTCATCAAAACTGTGTCTTAACGAGGTGTGTCTAACCCGTAATTCTTTCAAAGAAATTACGAAATTCATTTAAAATCTCATATTTTCCTAAAATGTCTTCAAAAATCTACCACAAACGGGCATGCCTGCTCAACAAATGTCGATTACTAAACTTAGTATTGCGATGTCGTTTTATTGAATAACAAGTTCTGCTAGAAACCTAATTGGTAATTTCAGGGTAGATACGAATGTGTTGGTTAAATTTTACAAAGTAGGCCGCAAGAGATTTGTCCAAAATTCAAGGCAGGACTAATGGTGTCAGTCAGTCTTGGTCCAAAATGTATCAATGGACAAGCAATTTGTGTAGCTGACATTTATACGCAAGCAGAGACTTTATAGGAACAGGCAAAGTTGGTGCACAAGTGCAGTCAGGGTGTGCAAAAGAGGTGATTTAAGGAAAGCATGAAATAATTCGGAGAGTTCCCTAAACTTAGCAATAATATTCTAGCTAATTATGTTTCGAAATTATCAGTAGCTATAGGAAATGCAATCTAGATATCTTATAATGCAAGAAAATGAAAATACATTCAAAATATCAATTTTTGTAACATGTTAAGCAGCCTACGATTAACCGAGATCTTATCGGAAATACACCCCGTTCAGCAAGAAGTTTTCGCGAAATTGGACTTGATAAAGCAGCAAAACATAGAGTTTTCATCGTCGTAGTTGATGGGGACACTCGTATCGAAATAAGTTTAATGCTCGGCATTCATGCAACTGTTGCGATTAAGGCTATGACCGATTCTTAATCTACTGTAGCAAAATATCGGTTGATGTCTTCCAATTAAAAGGAAGATTATTTAGAGACTAGAGATTTGATTATGCACCATGTTTCCAAAAAGGCAATTCTCCGCCAGAGTGGGCCTAAGTTCTTATCTCGTTTTACCGTAGAATTGGAGGATCTAGCAGGATTTGAACCATGAATTTGCTGTTTGACTAAACAGGCTGCTTTTGACATATATTTTGGATGTAAGTAGAGTTTCGAGACTATCAATAAACCAGTAATATGAGTTGTATTCACCCTATTTCGTTTAAGGTGATGAAGGACTGGTAGTAGAATTTACCCACAATGATATGAGTAGAGCTGATGTTTCCTTTGAATTTCACATAGTTTTGATTTCCCAAAAGTTGTTCTCATCTTCACCCTGGATGAGAAAAACCTTTGGGAAAGCAAGGCTGTGCGAAGTTGAATGGAAACGTCAGCTCTACTCATATCATTGTGGGAAGCTTCTAGTACCAGTCCTTCATCACCTTAAACGAAATAGGGTGAATACATCATATATTTTGGAACCATATTTTATCAAGCGAGCTTTTGCAAATACCGAAATATATTTGTCTGTCAAAAGTAGACAGACTACTTCTTGGTTTAGATCAGATTTACGGCATTAAACTTCAATAGAGGAAACTGGGCAAGCTAGTAGAATGAGGAACCAAAATTCCTAAAGAATATTGTGATATGGAGAGGCAAGATTCCTTAATTCCTGCTTTTAGCAAAAAAGCTTAAGAGTTCACACATTTGATTACAGCAGTCAGTTTTTGACAGCTTATTTGGGCTATTTCTGAGGAAATAAAATGATCAAGAAAGCAGCATTCCAATAGCGCCTTGAGAAATGAGGTGGCTCGTTGATCGTGGCTACCTGATGCCTCGAGGAAGCTCAGTTCTCATGTCTGATGATACTTAATAAGGAATAGATGCACCTGAAAGCTGAACTGTCGTCATTCCCAACGAATAACTAGGAGGTCATCTGCTCTATTAGGGCTAAGCGTTGCTGAAGCTCCTCTGAAGACTCTACCAAAAAAGATGCAGCCCGCCACGGATGGCGATGACCTGATAAAACAGTTTGCTATTTGGATCGAGCTGAAAGGTTAGGCTGCACGAGATTGTCCCACTTTCCTCATAGTCGGTATAGACGAAGGCCAAGCAGACCCGAAACACGAGTTGAAAACAAGTGTTTTATGCCAACAGCATCATTTTTCTTGCTCACTGAAGCAGTTTAGTCGGGAAATTTCAAAATGATTTCTGAACTTTTTGACAATTTTTTTTGCTTCGCCTCGAAACTCTTGCTCGTCGTGCAAGACAATATGGCCTGAAGATTAACATATTTTCCCACACTTTATCGGAGTTGATCCAGTTCAGGGTGCTAATCAGACAATAAGGCGAATGCTAAACCGCAGTCCAGGCTTTTGGTACGTAAGGAGGATTGAAAGACAATGTAAATTTAGGCCTTTTTTCATTTAGTTATAGACACGGTCGCAATCCGGCCGAAAAGAAACTAGTCGTAACTGGTACATCTCCAGAGCATTTCAAGACTGCTCAACTTATTCACTATTTTGGTAGTCAAAACACCATTTTATGGTCAAGCGATGAAATTATGTACGAAGGCGAGCTCCATTCTGCCCACCATCGCCGTTACAAGGATGCAAGACCAGTTTGGTGGCTTAGTCAAGAAAATATGACCATCTCTGGCTCAGGAAAGGTTGACAAAACAAAATGCCTGTTCCACGATCCTGAACCTCCAAACGGATTGAAATGATTTTTCGAAGATATGAAAACCAAGAGATGGTGTGGCCTTTTGTGTGGTCGCAGTCTCCTTTTGTTGTATAGAATAGTAAAACTTACTGACGATGCCGGCGAAACGTCTGGGAATGTACCACGTTCACAGTCCAACTTTGGAAATGATTATGCATATAATGGACTCCGAACTGGGTGCGTTCCTTTAAGTCTTCCCACCAACATGACCAAGTTGCGAAAAAAAGGTCAAAAAATCTCTAAAATGATTTTTAACTCAATCTCTGACAAACTCGTATAAACATTTCAGCTGTCTCTAAGGCAGGCGTACCGATGATGACTAGTGGACATGAGAGGCATCAGACTCTAGAGGCATGCCCATTAATCAATTTATTCAGCTAACTACACAATTATATAATTCCGAAATTAGGCCCATATTCCACATTTTTAATAGGGGCTGATGGCGGGAGAGAAAAAAGCCAGTGCTGCTGGTAATCATTTCATAAATTAGTTGCATTCGTTCAAACCTAGGGAAATTGGCATGATTTAACCTCGAGACAATTGGCAATGAGTGCAGGGCTAAACTTTGTCAAAATGCTATTATTTACATGCATTTATTTGGTTTCAAGTAGATCCGATCAAGCTGCAAATAAGAGGAAAATGAGTGTGTTTGCGGTCAACTCCGCTCATTACCCAAGTGTTGCATGTAAGCAAGTGCTAAATTCCAATGTCCATATTGATATTAAAAAGCCGCTGAGACTGAAATAAATAGGCAGTGTGGGCAAAATAATCAAGAGTTAAGTAAAGTGCAAAATGAATAAATAAGAGATATTCTATCAAAATTGCCATTTTACGCTATTAGTACCTTCGGTTTCTGCAAAATAAGATCAGAAAAATACCACACAATCGGCAACATCCAAGCCAGACGGGCCAAGACGGTAGAGGGACGCAAACAGAAAAATATAATGAGATTTAGCGTTAATTAGCATTCTCAAGACGATCTCGATTACTCGGAGGCTTAACGTCCTTATATATTCTTGAAATAAAATAGAAAAATCATTCTAACTCAAAAAGTAACGGTATCCACACCTCTTCAGAGAGTGATTTTGTCCGTTATCCTAGTACAGAGTTGACATAGCGACGGAAACCTGGCAAGTGGATTGTATTCTGTAGGTGAGCCTAAGTTCTTCTCTGGAACATGCCAAAGTTGATCCGGTTTTCTCGCGTTAGGCTATTGTCTTCTTTAGTCAACCCTCCAGCATATTCAAGCGATATGAGTTTAATGATCACGAGAGCTTTAGCAAATCAAGGTCAGAAACGCAAGCTTAAACGGAATATATTTTTCTCAGTCCATCGTTCTTCTGGTGTTTCTCAACAAGTTTTCTTGGCAGCATAAGAAAACAGATGTTCTATGACTTGGAAATAAGAAGAGATCCAACTTACCGACAGCTTGATAAATGAGCATAAATTTGTCGGCTTTAAGAAATGCTCGATTCCAATAAAGACAGACTATTCTCACATGAAAAAGTGGCAAATAAAATAAGTTTTTACCATAATTTAGAACAAGAATGAGCCTGCTAATGGTCGTCTGAAGCGAGAACGAGCACTTGCTCAGTTGGCTCGTAGCTTAGCATATCTGATTGCTGCAGGAG